ACACACGCCTCCTGTATCGTGTTAGGACTGTCCACCACTGCAACGACACATTACATAATGTTACACCATGTTACATCACGTCGTGTTACACCATGTTACATCACGTTACACACGCCTCCTGTATCGTGTTAGGACTGTCCACCACTGCAACGACACATTACATAATGTTATACCATGTTACATCACGTCGTGTTACACCATGTTACATCACGTTACACACGCCTCCTGTATCGTGTTAGGACTGTCCACCACTGCAACCACACATTACATAATGTTATACCATGTTACATCACGTCACACACGCCTCCTGTATCGTGTTAGGACTGTCCACCACTGCAACCACACATTACATAATGTTATACCATGTTACATCACATCCCATTCGCCTCTTGTATCGTGTTAGGACTTTCCAGCACTGCAACGACACATTACAGCATGTTATATCATGTTATATTATGTCGTGTTATATCACATCATGTTGCGTCATGGTTGGTTTGATCACATTAGATTACGTTGATTCATGCTTGCTTTGCACTATTATTACTCGTATTATGATGTATAAAAAAGATGAATAAAGAGTTGGCGTTGACTAAAGTGGCTCATGGTACATAAAGAGTTATTGTTGCATAAAGTGTGGCATACAAACTTCTCTCGAATAAAGCGTTGCCTTTGCATTGTTAGATAGTGTTGTTTTTCATTACGTTGCTGCTGCGTGATTAGAGATTGCTTAATTGGGAGTTGTTGTCGAGTCAGCAGCAGCTAGGATGAATTATCATTAGTTGTTACCTCCGCGTTGCAAACGGAGGTCATGCAATCGCTCGCGTGTGTGTGTTCGTGTGTGTGTGTAGCCAGCAGCGATCCAGCTGTTATACACACGCTCAACCGATCGATCGATTCAGCACCAGCTCGCCTTAGGGCGTCCTGTCAGCTGTTATACACATCAGGAGTCTATCAATAGGAGTAAGACAGACTGAAACCGGCAAAATTCAACATTTAGTTGCCTTAGTCTACCTATGATTTATTGTTATTATAGGCCATGTCGAATGACAGTAATTACATGTTATGAACGATATTGTTAAGAAAAAATAAAATGGATAAAAATACTAAACATGTGAAATTTTTATTTCTAATGTAAATAGTATGAATAACACCAAGTCGTGTTTAACTTTCCGAAATCCCTGGCAAACCTCGCTAGTTGTTTGCTATGTTTGCATTGCTAAGCGATAGAGGGCTTTCAAAAGCATTGCCCTTATGTTTCGGTTCACAGTTGTTGAAAATGCGGTATAACTTTCAAAAACCACATTGCACGTTTGGACCGATATATATATATATATATATATACACACACATATACAACAAGTTTCCTTGCCTGTCGACCTGAGCTTATCCTTTACTGACCAGCATAAACAGCCTGCAATAACGCTTAGCAATAACCCTGCAATGCTAACCTACACACATCACACCTCCAACTACTAATTAAATTAATATAAAATTCAATTACACTATTTTCGTAAACTAATCTGAATTAATTGTTTGTAACTTTTCTAACTAATGATTAATCATTACCAGCGTATCAGCCAAACCTGCACTGCTAACCTACACACATCACACTTCTAATTACTAATTAGTCACTAATTACTTATTCAATCTCAATTTTAATTACACTATTTTTGTAAACTAATTACACTATTCTATCTAATACAATTAATCATTACCAACGTGTCGATTACTCGTTACTCGTCACAATTACTATATAAATCGCATCGTTAATTAAACACGACTACGCTGATCACTCATTAGCGACTCTCGCTCGTTAATCACTCACTTGCTCATCAGAGCCTTCAGCTTCTCCGAGCCTCGTAACGAGTTACGCAGGAACTCAGCCTCCCTCTCATGCCGGTCCTCCTCCTCCTTCCTCTTCCGCAGATCCTCCTGGTACATCCGGATCCTCTCCAGCTGATCCACACTCGCCGCCTCGTCCGGCGCCCCCTGTCGGTGGGTCGGCGACGCCGCGGCGGCCACCGAGGGGCGCTGCGGCGTGGGGTAGCGCGGCGGCACCTTCGATTGTCCGACGAATCCGTCCGGTACGTCCACGGCCACCTCGCGGTGCGGCTGCGGCCCCTTAATGTCCCAGTAGGTGTCGTTGGCGGTCGCGCCCGCGTGACCGTTGTGGCGCGCCGCCGGCACGTTCGCTTGTTTCCCGAAGCTCTTCATCGGAGAGGTCGTCGCGGGGTCGCGGTAACGGATGAGGGGCGGGGGCGAGCCGTCGCCGCCGCCGCGCTGCACACCGGCGCCCTCTATCTGAACCTCCACCTGAACGCTGCCGCTGCTGTCGTCGTCGTCGTCGACCTCCTCCTCCCCACATCCCCTTTACCTCCTGTGTGAGTGACTCAGCCTCCGTGGCGGCGGGCGTGCGTTGCTTGTACTTCGACAGGATCGCGACCACCTGGTTGTGAAGGCCGATGGCCTTCTGGAACTCAACGTTGCGGAACAACCGGGCGAGGACGGAGAGTTCTTCGTGATGTTCAGAGTGTTCGAGTCGGTGCTGGATGTAGGAGAGCGAGCCCATCAACTCTATCATAGCTGCGCGGAGAGATAACGAGAGACGGAGGATGAGGATACTGCTGCCGTAACCACGGCAACGGCAACGGCAACGCGTACGTGTGTGTGCGTGCGTGTGCGTGTACGTGTGCGTGAGCGTGTGTGCGTGCGTGTGTGTGTGTGTGCGCGCGCGCGTGTACGTGTGTGTGTGTGTGCGTGCGCGCGCATGTGTGTGTCTATATGACGCATCACTTCTAGAATCATATAAAAACAGAGCTGTTTTATTGATATAAGAATTGAACTTTGTCGATTACGATAACGATTGTGAAACGACCAAAAAAAAATTTCCGATATGGATCAGGTGACTATTATCACGCACCCGCGTACATGTTTACTACCAATAGTTAACAGCTGCTGGTAATAGATGGCGCCACGTGACCATAATCTTCGCATGGTTACATGCACGTATGTTAGGCTGTAGGTTTCTGACGTCACGGTATTTCAAAACTGGCGGCAGCATGGGGAGTGGCGTAGCGAGGATTTCTGAACAGGTGGGGCGCAAAAACAGCTAACTGCGCTAAATAGTGGATGACTTAATATTTTGTTGGTTCCTCCACTTCCCTCTCCACACCCTACGCTCCCCCACCTCTCAGCTCTGCAATCTTTGTTTTGGGTGCCATGCAAAAAGCGACATTTTTGTTCGTTGTTCTCTGCTCCCAAGATATGTAACTGTAGGGTTACAATAATAACATGTTTTTTTTATTATAATCATATATATATATACTTACGTATGGGTCGCCGCGGGGGTGGGTGGGGCTGGGGGGAGGGGATTACTTACGTATCGGTCGTCGCGGGGGAGTGGTCCCCACAATGTCCATCGGGTCGAATCCATCAGAACCGTCCTCCTCCTCATAACCAATGTTCTCAATCCCAGACACCGGAGTACTGCGCGAGAGAAACACAGCATGTCACCACCGACACAGGGAACGAGGTTTGTCTCTCACTCTCAAACTCACTGCCCCTCGCTCGCGCTCTCTATCTTTCTATCTTTCTCGCCCGAACACCCCCGCCGTGCCATCTCTATCTCGCGCTCTCTCTCTCTCTCTCGCTCTCGCTCTCTCTCTCTCTCTCTCTCTCTCTCTCTCTC